CAGAGCGTGTTCAATTCTCTCCATGTTATACCTTCTTACATTGCATACTTTACGTCTATTAATCAACTTTGAAAGCTCTGCCAGTTCTATTTTGTCTGTTGTACTTGACACTTTCATCATTTGACGCTTCTTAATTAGGTTCTTCATTTCCTGGGAAAGCTTGCCAGTGTCCTGTCTAACTACCCTGCCTCCAACTTCCACTGCACACTCCGTAATGATACTCGTCAGATCATCATTCATTGTATCTATGCTGAGGTTGGTTTCCTCACTAAGAGCCGAGCACCTGTTCTGCAGTGACACTTTGAATTCCTGTACTTTCCCTCTCAGTGCTAGCTCATTGATTGGCTTCTTGCGTATCAGTTTCTGTCGTTTCTTCTTCAACTCTAGGTGAATTTGAGACCGTACCATTCTATGGTCACTGCATCGTACCTTGCCAACCACTTCCACATCCTGCACGATTCCTGGGTGTGCAGTCATTATAAGGTCTATTTCGTTCTTATTTTTGCCATTAGGGCTCCTCCATGTCCACTTGCGGTTTTCTCGTTTTCGGTAGAAGGTATTCAAAATCCGCAAATTATTGCGTTCTGTGAATTCTACTAGTAGCTCTCCTCTGGCGTTTCTAGTGCCAATGCCATAATCTCCTACTGCCTGGTCTCCAGCCTGCTTCTTCCCTACCTTTGCATTAAAGTCGCCCATCACTATAGTATACTGTGTTTTTACCTTACTTATTGCCGATTCCACGTCTTCATAGAAGCTTTCGACTGAAGCGTCATCGTGGCTGGATGTAGGCGCGTAAGCCTGTACTACCTTCATCTTGTATTTTTTATTCAGTTTAATTACAATACCTACCACCCTTTTATTAATGCTATAGTATTCCTCTATGTTGCCAGCTATGTTTCTGTGAATTAGGAACCCCACTCCCAGTTCTCTTCTGTTTGCCAAGTCCCGATAGCAAAGGACGTGCCCATTCTGTAGCACATTATAGGCCTCATTTGTCCTCCTAACCTCACTGAGCCCTATTATATCCCATTTAACACCCTCTAGCTCCTCGAATAGTACAGCTAGACTTTCCTCACTAGATAAGGTTCTAGCGTTAAACGTTGCCAAGTTCAGGTTCCAATAGCGGCCTGTCCGGATTCAGAGATTCTTAGCACCCTCTGCTGCGTTGCAGATCTGACCGCCGCCGTGGTCAGTTGCTTCGCAGCTGCTGGGGACTGAGGGCCGTGAGTTATTTGACGTATGCATGTGGGAGGTAGTGGCCAGATACTGCACCAGGGTGGCCAATCCTTCTCTGGTGAGGGAGTGCGTTCCCGGCGGTGGTTACCGGTGAGGCCGCACCCCAGGCCTCTTAATGCAGTTCCATCAACACGCGGATTTTTTTTTTTTTTTAATCCGGTTGGGAACTGCGCGGCACCGGGATTTGAACCACAGACCTCTTGCATGCGAGGCGGATGCTCTAGCCACTATGCCATCGCCGCACTCACCAGGTACGGTACCTTGAATCTGGCCTTGCAATGGCGATCTGCCGTCGGGTGGTCTTTGCCACACAACTGGCACTTCACTTCGCACTCGTGGTCCTGCAGTGGGTTCTCAGCCCCGCACCTTCTGCATATTCTGCTATTCGGGCTCGGGCAGACGTCAGCTCTGTGACCAAGGCGTCCACACTGGTAGGACACGTCTATTTTCTTGCAGTGTAGTGAGCACTTGACCAGTGCTCTTCCGTAGCTCGCATAACTTGGAACGCGATGCCCATCGAAGAGGACGATGACGTTCGTGGTGTTTCCCATCCTCTTGGCCATGAGGACCGCCGCATTTCTCGGGGTTACCAGCATTTCCACGATCTCTCTTGGAGACACGTCCTGCGTTACTCCTTGGATCACCCCTTTAGATGTATCTTCTGGAGCTGACTCGTACGCATTGGCTTCGAATTCCTTGTCCCCAATTTTCAGTTGAGAGATGGTTCTGTATTTTTCGGCGCACTCCTCTGATGGTGTGCTGATCACAAGAAAGTTCTGTTTATAGTTGGCACATACCGTGTCTTCTTCCGATTCATTCCTGGGTATTCTAGCGGCGTTGGCGACGCAGCATTCTAGACGATTGATCCCGTAGTCAGTGACCTTGAAGCCGTCACGTGGGTGCACAATTATCTTGTAATCTTCCTTCGGCAGACAAGGCATCCTGCTCGCAGCCACAATTTCTTGTTTCATGCTTCAATTTGTCTTGCTTCATGGTCCTTGGCTTCATGCGTTGTGGTTTCTTTAGCTTGTCCTCTTCTGTTCACAAGGCGCCAACCTGTTTGTTCTCATACTCTTGTTGCGTGATATCCTCGCCATCCACGCTCATCGTAGCCATCCTGTGGCATTAACCCGAGGAGACGCCGCCTTAAGGGGGCTCGAGACGCCAGCGTCCGTGGGCTAGGCCAAGCGCATTATGCACAGCAGCAGGAGGCAAGGGCGTCGTGCATTCGTCGGCGTTACAGAAAAGTGGTTGATGTGCCGAAAATTAACCATCCACCTACTTGAGAGCCGTATCCCGGGGTTCCGTGGAACTTCCACTTTCTTCACTGTAAGAAGGCATCCGTCAATTCTTCGATTTCACGCTGAGAATCACTCAAAATCTGCGGAGCCGACGCAACATACGTGTCTGCACTCCGTGGCCCCCTGGCGGTCCCCCCTAGTTCTTTTCATGGAAAAAGAAATTTAGCTTTCCTAAAGCACAGAATTTGCCTGCTCTGTTTGTTAGAAGTTGAATATTTCTCCTACGCATGCTACTAAATTAATTATGAATTGTGCCTATACGTGCCTAAACGATAGTTTTTAACACCTATTTATGCCTAAATGGCAGTTTTTAGGGCCTAGTATAGGTGCCTAAAACATTCTTTTTTCTTGCCTGAAATTCCGGTCTTTAGTTATCTGTAAGTGTAAGAACTGCAGTTATCTTTGCACGTAAATTTGTCATTTTAAGGATTGGCATCATTTTGTATATAACATGTATCGGTGACTACTACAATGAAATACTTTTCATTTCAGAAGTAAAAAGGCAAACAATATGTCATCAAAATTAGATGTGCAATACATCAGGTCATCATAGGCTGTCCCTTAACAAATACGCTTTGAAATGGATCAACAGCACCACCTTACTGACATCGCTGTGCCTAGCATTTTCAGGCGCTGAAGCCTCTTCTTAACCAGCCTCCAACAAGCAAAATTTATGACCTAGTGCACCACCCAAATCTCAACGATGGTGACGAACTAGTAGCTTTGTTCTTGTTGAGAGGCAGTTCTTTACATGTAATAACTGTCATTACTCATAACTTTGCCTGTAAGTGTTTGTAACTGAGACATGGTGGTAACATGTAGTGGTTCCTACACACTCGTCTCACATTTTTATGTCCCAATATATTACCATCACAGCAAACGCAAGTAAGAAGTTATAGTGATGACAGCAATATGATTAGGACACGAGCCTCCAACATGGCGTCGAATTGGTAACTTCGCCAAACGTTCGATAGATAGCAGCAATTTTGATAAGGTCTATATTAATCAACATGTAAATTTTTGTGAAGGTGGTTTCACTGCAGTGGAGGGGTGCTAAGACGTGAAAGCATTTATTTAAATCTACAATAGCTCACATATACCCGCCCCCCTCCCCTGTAACGATGGTTTAACTGAAACAACAAAGGGGTGCTAAGCCCTGAAAACACCTATCAAGGGGGGAAATCTCGACTGCCATGAAGTTGCACATTAATGTTAAATGAACAGATTACCCTTGCATCGATACATCATTTTTTAAGTTTAAGTGCTTTTGTTGCTTTTATGGTCTAAGAATAGTAAATTTTAAAATGTAGCATATTTTTCTGGTTATCACTTGTATTCTATTGAAAGTCAAATCCTGCTACTATTCAGTTATTTCCACTTTCTTTGAACCAAAAAAAATGGCATTTGCACAGATCATGTTTTAATTTCTTAAAAATATTATGCAGGCTAGGTCATGACAAATATAATATAATATGTAATATAATATAATATAATATGTGATAAATACTATTTGAATTCACATTGGAAATTATTCAAGATCGATTTTTACAGCAAAGTGTGAATGTAGATTAAATTTTGGTATATCATAACAAACTGGTAAGTAGGGCTGCGAGCATGGTTTGAAAACACAAATTTGCATCCCATGCATGAGTCATTGAGGGGGGGGGGGGGTAACCGAAAAATTGGGCAAAAAGCATATAATAGTGGGGAGGTTATGTAGAAAAAGAATGTATGTCTTAGTGTCCTATCATTAGAATAAATGTTCATTTTCACAATGATCCCTTACATTTTTACTGCCCCCCCCCCCCCCCCATAAATGAACCACATGTTGTGCATGATGGAAAGATGCGTTTCATTGTCTCTTTCTTTGTCCTGTCTTGAAGCTGTGATTCTCAGTATTTCATTCATATTAAAACTAGCCCAGCAATGAATTTTAATAAATTGCTGATTTTCTCTGCAAGCTCAAGAGGTCTGTAATCATTTTTCGTATTTTTATTATCAGGTACATATTTTCGCTTGTGAAGATTTGAGGCACCAATGAATTACAGTTGGCGATAACATCTGCGTTAGTGGAAAAAAAGACTAATAATTGGTTTTTTTAAGATGGCCTTCACTTCATTTTTGGATAACGTAGAGCTTGGTATAACTCACTGTACTGCAAATTTTACAGTGCGATACATGAAGACTCTCATATCTTCATTTATTGTTTCCTGCTTTTTTTTTTCTTCTGTTCTCCCCCTGCATCTGCTTATCTAAAAACAGAATATTACAGCAAGCTATTACCTGTATTGTTGAGCACTGAGACATTATTGTATATTGTGTTTACTGTTGTGCTAATCTTTTTTGTTTGAATAATTTACTCGTCACTTCAGTTGCACTTCACTTCTCCTTTGTGTGGTATTGTCAAGGTACCAAGATTTTTGTACGAAAAGAGACATTGACTGCACTTGCTTGCTATTTCAGACTATGATGATAATCACAGTGCTCACGGCTGTGTCATGGTACTACAAACGCTTCAAGTGGACTGTCATGAAGACGAGGAAGATAGTCTATAAGCCTAAAAGCTATGAGTAGGTACTGCACAGGATAATTGCTGCCTTGTTACGTTTCCTTTGCAATTTGTGATGTAGATAAAAGGAAAGCAGGTGCAAAGGACTGACCTTTGGGCAGTAGCATGTGCTTTCCCATCAGTTGAAGGAATAAAATGCTGGCCTGTGCACGTGGAAGTGTCTTATGAATCTTGTGTTCTGTTCTGCTTATGTCATTTTTGCTCCCCTAATGGGATTAAGTGTGGCACTTTTGAGTGAAATAACCTCGACATATGCCAGAAACTTCTTCAGATAGCACAACCGTTAGTTACCCAGTGATTTTAGATAACTTAATGGTAATGCAAAGAGTTGGCTTGATACGTTATGTGCTTGTGACAATAATGTTACTACGATTACCTTTGCTTAGCCCCCAAACAAGTAGAGATGTGAGAACACTAGAGTCTCAAATTCCGATGATATGCTACATGTGTAATATTTGTACTCAATCTGAAAACTGCTTACTTGAAGTAGTTTGAGTAATGCTCAGAAAGTATTCAATCCCAATACCATATTAAAAAAAACACTTCTAATCTTCAACTTTTTTAAAAATTGTGGCAATGCTTACAATAACATCTCGAGCAAGCACCCCCCCTCCATTTTTCAGGAGATTTGAAATATGCCCCCTGCCCCTTCCTTTCCCACCATTATCACTCTTTTTATTCACATAAAAAAGAATGCATATGTGGTACCCTGCTTATAAGAGACACCTAATATAAAAGACAAGAATTGCTGCCTAGAGCATGCCTCTTCGGCTGTATCCCTTTTCAATGAAGCAGCACCACTTCTTGCTCAGTAGCTATTGGGGAAATATAGATGAGTGAGTGGCCCTGCTGCTTTGTCCTCTATCGTCGTTTCCAAATTATCCTTAGTATCATCACTGTGCGCAGTTACAAGGTTGTCCAAGGATGGATGGATGAACTTTTTTATGTCCTTCGGAACGCGCTCTAGCACGTTGCAGGCCGCTCCCACGTCGAAACAAAAAGATAAAGTCTCTGCTGTGGCGCGAGCCCATTGAACTGCCCATAACTGTTGTTCGAGTTCGGAGCTGGTAATAGCACCCTCCCATTTCGAAGGCGTGATGGCTTCACCACAGCGTAATGCAGGGCACCACCATAGCAGGTTGTCCATAGGCCATATTTTTTTTTCCATGCTTCGACATAAAGAAAAAAAAGAAAAGTCTTGTAGTCACTATTTCGGGCAGCATTTATCGTGACTTCACATGTATTTGCTTGTTGGTAGTAGCTTTCAAACCACGAGATGCAATTTCCTGCAATGCCTTTACAATGCCTTAAATGTGCATCACATCCAGGCATCTCACATATGCGAAGTCTCTTGCAATAAATTCTTCCTAAAAATCTCTGTTGGATTAATGTGATGCCATGCTAGTTTTTTTTCACACTTTTTTATTTCATTTTTAAGGCAGCGGTACAACATTATTAAAAGGTTGCATCCATTTTCACCAATTAGAGAAAGTTATTGCACTTGAAGTGTGGGAGCAAGCAGCAGGCACACTGGCACCCTTCACTATTGGCCCTGGCACAGTCCGTAGTGATGCTGTCAAAATAGCTTGTCGAAGGTGCCTTGTGAAGCAACAGTCCTTGCATTTGACATAAGTAACATGGGCCAACTACTGACAACAAGAAAAAAAAAACAGCCATTGTATGTAGGCTTTGAATGTAGGAAACGTACACAAACTTTCAGCAGTTACCGTCATGGACAATTAAACTACGAATGAGAGTTATCTCAAATGCTTTGTTTTGTTTTGTTTTTGTGACTGCCAATATGCGTGGAAGCATTATTTCAGTTTGTACACTTATTTTAATATCTGAACAACCTATCGAAACGACATAATTAGGAATCCGAGATAGTTCTCCGACCTCGTCACTCTGCACCTATTCTGCTTTGTAATTTCTTGTTTGCATTTTAATTTGTCTATTGCAATACATATAGGATTAACACAGATTCTGTGGTAATAGCTTACTAGTGCATTGTCATCCATTGTTGATATGGCAAAATAAAAGTGAGTGAAAGAAGCCTGTGTCATAACATAACTTAGCATTATCAGGGGTTTTAAACAATTGGCCGACGATGCTCTTGGGCACTTAACCTTGATGCCATTGTCAGTCTGCAGTCTCAAGTTTCTACCGAAAAGCCTCCCAATGATGTTTTGTGCTATTACAGTGATGCCAGAGTACAGTTGCAAACAAGCAATGCTGTTGCAGTACATACTGCTTGAGGGTGGGTATAGTGAGTTGATCAGTTGTACCATCTATGGCTCAACCAGTAACTAGGCCTGGTTGTCTGGCAATCGCTGTTCCATTGGCAGCCAGTCCAGTTGGCATACACTGTCCCCAGCCTGTGCTGGAGTCGCAGAAGAGACAAGGAAGACTAAACCGACACTGAAGCTCAAGAGGTGAAAACAGAGAGGTTGTCCTTTCTACAGATTCATTAGTTTACCTCAAGGGAAACAAGTGTTGCAGAAACAAAATTGACAGAAGTGCCGATCAGTCTAGAATAGTACAGGAAATATAGTATGAATAGTATGTAAAGCGATTAGTATAAATTTTCAACAAGATGCTGCATTGATGCAGCCACCAAGCAGTGATCAAAAGACAGCCCCTGATGCAAGCACAGTAGTGTACTATGAAATGATTTTGGTTGTAAACTCTTGAGTGCCTGATCGACTAGGGGTGACAAGTGACTAATGTTGTGCACTAAAAAAGGGGAGAATTGCCCATCATATAAATACCACCAGCATCATGCCAGGGAGAACAACAAAAATGACAAATTTGACAGAACCAGCTGATTACAGCCATCGAGCAGTTGTCTAGTTGCTGTCATGCGAGCTATTTTTGCCTCTGCAAAAACATGTTCTTAGCTTCTTCAGGTGTCACTGTTCTTCAGGACAATTTCGTGTGCAAACTTTAGTTTCAGAAAGGAGACTATTACTTGCAAGTGCTGTTGTAAACAGTTTGATACTGTGCCAATAATAGAGTAACATATTCCTGTGATTACATGTGTGGTACTAGTAGTATATCACTACAGCATAGAAAACTAATTTTAAGCATGGCAAGTGCTGGGGCCACGTCGAACATCGTCTCGCATGTTTCGGTACTCTTTGCCTGAGCTCTGCCTACAACGATACCAATTTCTGCAAGCTCTCTGGTCACAAGAAGCTGGTTCAATAACTTTGGGGCACCCCAACACTATTCAATTATGCAGTACTGGGAAGAGGCTCCCACACCATGAGGAAAACACAGAGGGCAGCTGATAGCATGTTGCTGTAAGATGGGTCCATGTAGCATGGTGCCTAGTAAAACGTTCCTGTGTTTGTGATGACCAATGAGTCTTCTCACGAAACAAGCTCAAGTTCAAAGGATCCGTTGCATATTACTTATGAGCCAGAGCGAAAGTGATGTGGCAGCTGGGAAAGGCAGAATAGGCAGGAATGCAGAGATGTATCACAGCCTCCAACAACTTAACGAAATTGTATCCCCTGTAGCAGCAGTTTATAGAACATGCTTAGTGTTTGCTCTAAATTGTAACTGAAGGTGAGAGATGGATGGTTACTTTTTCCAATTGAGAGCCACAGCCGCGCAGGTAAGGACAGGGTTGAGTTGAGACGGTAGATGAATGGGCAAATTCAACATCGGGGTGCGAAAGGAAAGCCGAAAATTGAAGGCATTTTACAGTCTCTGTTCCGAAACAACAAGACATAAGCCATCGTTATACTGAATGCAAGCAAAGATGGGGCTGCGTTTTAACTTCTAGATTAAGTTGCATCTGTTCTCGTGTTCAAACTTCTGTAAATGTTGTCTAGCATGAATATGAGTCATAAGTAGTGAACTTTAGTTTTCCTTGTTACATCCTCTTCAGACGCTTCACGCATTAAAGTGCACATTTGTATTCTGGTTTTTTAAAATTGCACTGCTAGTAGACCCACCATTCTTGGTGGAACCACATTCTCGATCATGTGATGTCATCTCGTGAGCAATACAAGAAACCTTCTACAGTAGAAGCTATGTTTCCCGTTTTCAAACATAGCGGAATTCTTGACTTCAACCTTCTCCTGATGGTGTCCCAGTAAGTCCGCGATCACTGAATAATCATCCAATCATATTTTTAATTGTCTCAATCTACTTAAGAACGGATTTAGGAGCAATTCCCACACATTTTCGAACTCTAAAGGCGAGCGTTTTTGTTAACATGAGCCGTTTTCTTGAAATGTACATTAAAATGCCCACTTGGTGTCAATGGGTGCATTTGCCTGTGTACGTTTACCAATCTCGTGCAGTTTGTAATAACCTCTATGGCGTTAGGCTTTGACACTTGTTTCTTCTAGAAATATGTGATAAAAAGGCAGAATGTGTTCTTGACACAATAACCAGCATAGACCCCTTGCAGCTGGCATTGTCAGATGATGATGCTGTCCTTCAACCATTATAAGCACCTAGTATAGAAAGACAGGTGTTGTGCAGCATTTGGCAGTGAGCCACCACGCAAGCTGCTGACAACCAAGGTGCCTCCTGAGCCGAGAACTGTGCAAGTAAGCCACATACTAAAGCTCGTGAGCCAAAATCCAGGATCTTATTGGTAAAACCCTGAATGGTCTTGGCAAACAAAGTTCCTGTGTACCACATACAACATCTTCCTTTGCATCACATCTGCATGATACTGCTACAAGCAGTTTTGCAACAAATAAAAGGGGTTTTCACAAGAAAATGTTAAATTTTGTTTCAAGGCGAATATTGTTAGTTTCTTATGCATTAAGACCCAGTGTGCATTGTAATGGATACACTGGTGTGCAAAACGTGTTTGCGGTGCAGTCGCAATATTTTACTAGTGATATAGGGTGTGCATGTGTGTTTATTCCAAAAATGTATTGGTTTCACCTGTGTGGCCACAATTAGACTTGAGTCTAAGTAGGATATGCCGGCCTATGAGGCAGGTTTTACACAGTCATTTCATGTTCAAGGAGCATAGTACTGACCTAAAATTAAGCCCTCAAGATAGCCTGTGGAACTAATTCCCATGAACATGTGTATATCTGCAAAACATAAACAGTGAATAAGGCTAGGAAGGTATTTTATGTGTATTTTGAAGTTTGCTTGCACTATGAAGCCACACGTCGCGGCATTGACATCCTTGAA